GCATATGTGATCTGCAAGCATATGCGATGTGCAAGCGTATGCGATCTGCAAGCATATGCGATTGGCAAGCATATATGATCTGCAAGCATATGCGATCTGCAAGCATATGCGCGTATGCAAGCATATGCGATCTGCAAGCATATGGGATGTGCAGGCATATTGCGATCTGCAAGCATATGCGATCTGCAAGCATATGGGATGTGCAAGCATATGCGATGTGCAAGCATATGCGATGTGCAAGCATATGCGTCTGCAAGCATATGTGATCTGCAAGCATATGCAATGTGGAAGCATATGCGATCTGCAAGCATATGCGATTGGCAAGCATATATGATCTGCAAGCATATGCGATCTGGAAGCATATGCAGCTATGCAAGCATATGCGATCTGCAAGCATGTACGACCTGCAGGCATATGCGATCTGCAAGCATATGCGCTCTGCAAGCATATGGGATGTGCAAGCATATGCGATCGTGCAAGCATATGTGATCTGCAAGCATATGCGATCTGCAAGCATATGTGATCTGCAAGCATATGCGATCGGCAAGCGTATGCGATCTGCAAGCATATGCGATTGGCAAGCATATGTGATCTGCAAGCATATGCGATCTGGAAGCATATGCAGTATGCAAGCATATGCGATCTGCAAGCATGTACGATCTGCAGGCATATGCGATCTGCAAGCATATGCGCTCTGCAAGCATATGCGATGTGCAAACATATGCGATGTGCAAGCATATATGCGATCTGCAAGCATATGCGCTCTGCAAGCATATGGGATGTGCAAGCATATGCGATCGTGCAAGCATATGTGATCTGCAAGCATATGCGCTCTGCAAGCATATGTGATCTGCAAGCATATGCGATCTGCAAGCATATGCCGTATGCAAGCATATGGGATGTGCAAGCGTATATGATCTGCAAGCATATGCGATCTGGAAGCATATGCAGATATGCAAGCATATGCGATCTGCAAGCATGTACGACCTGCAGGCATATGCGATCTGCAAGCATATGCGCTCTGCAAGCATATGGGATGTGCAAACATATGCGATGTGCAAGCATATATGCGATCTGCAACCATATACAATCTGCAAGCATATGGGATGTGCAAGCGTATGCGATCGGCAAGCATATGTGATCTGCAAGCATATGCGCTCTGCAAGCATATGTGATCTGCAAGCATATGCGATGTGCAAGCATATGCCGGTATGCAAGCATATGGGATGTGCAAGCGTATGTAGATCTGCAAGCATATGCGATCTGCAAGCATATGCGATCTGCAAGCATATGCGATCTGCAAACATATGCGATCTGCAGGCATATATGATCTGCAAGCATATGCGCTCTGCAAGCATATGGGATGCGCAAGTGTATGTGATCTGCAAGCATATGCGATGTGCAAGCATATGCGCTCTGCAAGCATATGCGCTCTGCAAGCATATGCGATGTGCAAGCATATGCGATCTGCAACCATATGCGACCTGCAAGCATATGCGCTCTGCAAGCATGTGGGATGTGCAAGCGTATGCGATCTGCAAGCATATGCGATGTGCAAGCATATGCGCTCTGCAAGCATAAGCGATCTGCAAGCATATGCGATGTGCAAACATATGCGATCTGCAAGCATATGCGATCTGCAAGCATATGGGATGTGCAAGCATATGCGATCTGCAACCATATGCGATCTGCAACCATATGCGATCCGCAAGCATATGCGATCTGCAAGCATATGCGATGTGCAAGCATATGCGATGTGCAAGCATATGCGATCTGCAAGCATATGCGATCTGCAAGCATATGCGATGTGCAAGCATATGCGATCTGCAAGCATATGCGATCTGCAAGCATATGCGATCTGCAAGCATATGTGATCTGCAAGCATATGCGATGTGCAAACATATGCGATCTGCAAGCATATGCGATCTGCAAGCGTATGCGCTCTGCAAGCATATGGGATGCGCAAGCATATGCGATGTGCAAGCATATGCGATGTGCAAGCATATGCGATGTGCAAGCATATGCGATGTGCAAGCATATGCGATGTGCAAGCATATGCGATCTGCAAGCATATGCGCTCTGCAAGCATATGCGCTCTGCAAGCATATGCGCTTTGCAAGCATATGGGATGTGCAAGCGTATGAGATATGCAAGCATATGCGATGTGCAAGCATATGCGATCTGCAAGCATATGCGCTCTGCAAGCATATGCGATCTGCAAGCATATGTGATGTGCAAGCATATGCGATGTGCAAACATATGCGATCCGCAAGCATATGCGATCTGCAAGCATATGCGCTCTGCAAGCATATGGGATGCGCAAGCATATGCGATGTGCAAGCATATGCGATGTGCAAGCATATGCGATGTGCAAGCATATGCGATGTGCAAGCATATGCGATGTGCAAGCATATGCGATCTGCAAGCATATGCGCTCTGCAAGCATATGCGCTCTGCAAGCATATGCGCTTTGCAAGCATATGGGATGTGCAAGCGTATGAGATATGCAAGCATATGCGATGTGCAAGCATATGTGATATGCAAACATATGCGCTCTGCAAGCATATGCGATCTGCAAGCATATGCGATGTGCAAGCATATGTGCTCTGCAAGTATATGTGATCCGCAAGCATATGCGATCTGCAAGCATATGCGGTATGCAAGCAATGCAGTATGCAAACATATGCGATCTGCAAGCAAATGCGATCTGCAAGCATATGCGATCTGCAAGCATATGCGCTCTGCAAGCATTTGGGATGTGCAAGCATATGCGATGTGCAAGCATATGCGCTCTGCAAGCATATGCAGACCGGACCCGAACGAGAGCTACGGCCCCCTCGGGACCGGAGGGACCGCGCCTCGTGCGTTTTCTATGTGGCGACTTGGAAATGTGCACTGCCCGGGTAGCTCAGTCGGTAGAGCGCAAGGCTCTTAACCTTGTGGTCGTGGGTTCGAGCCCCACCTCGGGCGTAAAAGGCGGTGGCAGAGCCACTTTTGACCTGGCTGGCAGCTACAACGCGTGCAGGCCGTCATTTTCCAATCGCTCCTGGCCACCCCCATCAATCACGCCCACTTAGCAAGGCACTTGCTTGCTTTAGGAAAAGCAACGAAACTGCATTCAGCTAGTGTGCAGTATACTTGGCATCAGAGTTGTGGGATGACATGGAAAACAGAGCTGTTGGGGGTGGGCGGCCCAAAGTCAAGTAGCAAAGGCAGTTGCATTAGCAACAGCAAGGAAACTGCACTACAATGCGCTAGTGCGTGGTAGACTTGGCATCCGAACTGTGACACGACATGGAAAACCCAGCTGCTGTGGTGCTGTCACCGTAGGATGACAACCGCAGCTGCTGCAGGTTTGATGGCCGGAAGCCAGCGATCTGCTGGGAGTGCCTGTGGGAGTGCCTGTGGGACTACATGGACCAAAATCCAATGCCGCACCCGATGCGATTCAAACGCACGCGGGGAAACCCCACCGCCTTAGCAGGGC